ATACATATATATATATAACCAAACCAAGACTTTTCCAACAGTGTAAAAAGGAAGCCACAGCCTGGGGAAAAAATAGTTGGTAAGGACATGTCTGATAAGGGACTCATATCTAAAGTTAATAGACTATTTCGGTACTTCAACAAGAAAAAGGTAAACAACCCAATCACAAAATGGGTGCAGGACATGTATAGACACTCAACGAAAGAAGACATTCATATAGAAAACAAACACATAAAGACATGTTCTAAATTCCTGGCTCTCAGAGAGGTGCAAATAATAACAATAATAAGATATCTTCTCACCCCAATAACAATAGCAAAATTCAACAGAGCAGCAAACAACGAATGCTGGCAAGGTAGTAGAGAGATTGGAATCCTTTTTCACTGCTGGTGAGACTGTAAAATCATGCAACCACTATGGAAGGCATTATGGGGCTTTCTCAAAAAGTTGGAAATAGAAATGCTATTTGACTCAGCAATTCCACTACTAGGAATATACCCTAAAGAAACCAGAGCTGCCACTCAAACAGAAATAGGCACACCCATTTTCATTACTTCATTATTCACAATAGCAAAGAAAGGGAAGCAACTCAATTGCTCATCCACAAATGAATGGATAGAAAAACTATAGTATGTTCACACAATGGATACTACGCAGCACTGAAAACCAAGGAGCTCATAAAATACTACACAACATGGGTGACCCTGGAGAACATTAAGCTGAGTGAAAGATCTCAGTCACAAAAGGACACATACTATATAATGCCACTGTTATAAAACAGGACTGACATGGGGGTTAGGGGGAAACAAAGAAAAGAGGGGATAAATAATGAAAACTACACTGGAACAGATGAAGGAAAAAACTGTTTAAAAGCAATATATGATTAGGCATTATTTGTATGACAACAATCTAGAATAAGAGGTGCATGGCAAAGTAGACTAGCTGAGGGATAGTGGAGGAAGGAGGAAATTATGCAATAATAAATAGATAATTTTTAAGTGAAGTTGGGGGTAGGAAGGAAAATGTACAACAGTGAATCCAACTTTTCTGTGAACATTCATTAAAATCACAATAAAAATGAAAGTAATTTAGGATTTCAGGGATCATTTTAAAAAATAGAGAATTCTTATGCAAAAAAAAAAAAGGTGATTTGTATGTTAGGCTAAAAATAAAAATGGAGGTTGAAGCGCAACTCCAAAATCCTGTAACAGGATATTTTCCAAAACCTGAACTCAGAAAATCCTGTATCAGGACATTTTCTGAAACCAGAACTCAGAAAACCCTATGTCAGGATATTTTTATGAAACCAGACTCAGAAATCCTATGTCAGGACATTCCCCAGAAACAGTTTCCCAGGACCAGAAACTTTATGCACCTGGAGCGACCCCATATAAACCCCTTGAGCCCAACCCCCAGTGCTACTCTCCTTGTTGAGTAGCCCGGCACACAATAAACTCTGAGAAATGTTTCTACCTTGGCATGGTTCTTGGTATTGATCTGGAACTTTTCAATGTATATGCCCATACATATTTCTTTACATACCCTGTATCAATGTGACCTTATATGGAAAAGAGAACTTTGCAGATGTGGTCAAATTAGGGATCTCCAAGAGAACACTCTTGATTATGTGGTGAGCCCCACATCCAATGGCAAGTGTGCTTATAAGACACGGGAGAGAAGACCATGTAAACAGAGAGAGAAATTTTCCCTTTTAGAAACTTTAGGTAGGATTTTGAACTGCCAAAAGAACAAACAAATCTGTCTTGGAGGAAGTGCAACTAGGCTGCTCCTTAGAAGCAAGGATGAAATTTTGAAATTTTGAGGGGCAAGTCTTTGGGAAAAGGCATCATGCTGGGAAGGGTGAAGGGTCAGAGAAAGGGAGGAAGACCTTAAAAAAGATGAACTGACACAAGGGGTTAAAATATATCAGAGATAGTGAGGATGCTCAAGATTGGGTTAAAGTTCTTATCTGTTGTTCATGAGGCTACTATGAGTCATATTCAACTTGATGGCACCTAACAATAATAAAAGAGGCCATTGTCTTTGAAATTCCTTTCTATCAATCACAGAGCTGGACAATAACTAAGGAGGACAGAAGAATTGATGCCTTTGAGTTGTGGTGCTGGAGAGAGTATTAAACATACCATGGACCACCAAGAGAACAAATAAGTCTGTATTGTAGAGGGTGAAACCAAGTTTCTCCTTAGAGGCAAAGATTTTGAAGCTCCATCTCATGTACTTTGGGCATGGCCAGGAGGGATCGACCAGTCCTTAGAAAAAGACATCATGCTTGGAGGGGTAGAAGGACAGTGCAGGAGAGGAAGACTGTGGAGGAGATGGATTGACTGTGTAACTGGGGTAATGGGAGTAGATGTGTTTGAGTCAGTGAGAGTGGCTCAGGATAGGGCAGATTTCAGGGCTGGTGTACATAGGGTTGATATAAGTTGCAGGCAACTTAACAACAACAACGTAAGTTTTGGTAGCACTATGCTCATGTAAGACCACATTAATTATAACTGTAGGAAGAGGTGGTTGTCGTTAATGTATCATCAAATCAGAACTAACTCATTGCTGGCCCTTCGGAGGGTTTTAAAAGACAGTAAATCACATGAGAGGAGATTGTCCATGGAGCAACTGGTGGATTCAGATTGTGTGCTTTTGGGTTGACAGGGTAACTCCTCACCATAGACCACCAGAGCTCCCTGTAGGAAGAAGAGAAGAGACTTATGAGCACCATTGTCACTTGTGCTGGGAATTGCTCACCAGAATCTGATCAGGCACAGCGTACTTGGCAATCTTGGTGGCCACTGTTGACTTGAGCTCTTTCTCCACCACGTCTGAGTTAGCCACATCATCTTTCAACACAATGAAGGCAAAAGCAGCTGGAAGGAAAGTAATGGTTTTGAGTATGTTAGATTACATGCCATTTCCAAGGCAATGTGATGTATACACATCAGTTTCCAATCATAGATAGGTTTCCAATCATAGATAGGTGGTACTGCAGCAGCTATTTAGGTTAGCTGTAATCCTCAAGGTGACTTTTGATGGAAGGGCACTTCCATTTCCAGTCAAAGTGGATGTGAATCTCATGGCTCCACTGTATGTCCCTATCAGTTCGCCTGAGTCAAATGCAGAGTTCATGTGAGCCATCCTGACAGGCTGAGTGTAGCCCTAGACAGATGCTTAATTTCCTTAAGTGACTCCCTCCATTAGAGAGCCTCAAAAACAGGCTGTGGGAGATCTCCATGAGGAATAGGCTGACCACAGCCTCATGGGTCCAGCTGGCCAGCATGGCGGGCCCACTCCATGTGCTATCCAAACTCCATGTTTATCTTGGCAAAAGGGGTCATGTACACACAAAAAGTACTATCATGGCATAGAGGTTCAGTGAACCCTATGCTTAAGCATATTAATGTAAGCAGGTATTTAGGGTTAAATTCCTCCACTCACTCTGTATCCTCCAGTGTCCATGTGTGATAGGAATAGGTATAAGATTCTTTCTCTTACTTCATCTCCAATGTTCATGTATGATAGGGACTAGAGGTAAGATTGCTCCACTAACTCTACGTCGCCAATGCTCATGTGTGATGAGGACTAGGGGGTAACATTTCTCCACTCACTGTGCATCCCCATCATTCATATACGATGGGGACAATGGGTGAGATTCCTCCACTCATTCTGCATCCTCCAGCATTCATTTATGATAGGGACAATGGGTGAAGTTCCTCCACTCACTCTGTGTCCCCCAATGCTCATGCATTATGGAAACAGGTGTAAGGTTCTACCATTCATTCTGCACCCCCTGAACCTATGTGTCATGGGAATATGTGTAAAAGTCTTCCACTCACTCTGTTACCAGTGCTTATGTGTGAAAAGTGACTAGGGGTAAGATTCCCCAACTCACTTCGGGTCCCCAGTGTTCAATGTGTGATGAGGACTAGGGGGAAGGGTCTTTCACTCATTCTGCATCCCCCATTGCTCATGTGTGATGGAGACTCATTCTGCATCTCCAGTGTTACTATTATATGGGACTAAGGGTAAGATTCCTTCACTCATTCTGTGTCCCCAGTGTCCTTATGTGATGGGAATAGTTGTAAGATTGTTCCACTCAGTTTGTGTCCCCAGTGCTCACTCGTGATGGAGAATAAGGGTAAGATTCCTCCACTCTTTGTGTCCCCCAGATCCCATGTGTGATGGAGATGAAGGTTAAGATTCTTCCTCTCACTCTGGCTCTCCTGTGGTCATGTGTAATTGGGGATTAAGGGTAAGATTCTTTCTCTCACTGTGTTCCCTAGAGAGAATGTGTGATGGAAACAAAGGTTAATATTACTCTAGAAAGAGCCCCACTCAGCATACAGCCAATCTAAAAGCACATGCTAAGATGCACCACTTTCACAGGGCACTGGGCCCAATGTGTGTGAGGAGTAACAATGTCAAGGGCATGGGATACTTTATACAGAAATGCTGACAGTCCACAGGTATCAGACAGCAAGGGCACATGAAGATATTCTCTGCTTCCAAATCAGCTAGGGTTTTTTAGAGGTCAGGATTGATTCCACACATGCACTACCCAGCATCATCTCTGAACCTGGGGTCAGGAAACTCAACTTGGCTGCAGTGCATTTTCTCAGGGGCAGCAAAGGTGCCCTGGACACTCACCTTCACCCTTGATGTCATGAGGGATGCCAATGACAGCGGCTTCTGGAACTGATGGGTGGGTAGCCTACACATAGAGAACAAAGAGGATATACCAAAAAATGAAGTTGTCACTCAGGGATGCCAATTCCTGTTCCATGCCTCCCAGTGCAGAGGTATCCAGGTGACAGGATAGAAGCCAGTCTTGCTCACCATCGCATCCTCGATTTCTGCTGTTCCCACACGGTGCCCGCTGATGTTGATGACATCATCCACCCTTCCTGTAATCTGGTAGTAACCACTCTGGGTACGGTACACACCATCTCCAGAGAAGTAGTAGCCTGCAGTCCAGAAAGGTGAACTCAATGTCAGAGCTCTGGCTTTTGTTCTACCACGAGTGACTGTCAAAACCATGTCCTGGCTCTTCAGTTCAATTCTGGTCTGCTGGCCTCACTCTGCCCTAATGGAGACACTCCTTGCATAGTACTGTTTAGCTAGCTGTATTTTAATAAAAGAGCTCAAAGACAACAGTCTATCAATAGCAACAACATGACAAATGCATAGGAAACACAAGTACATAAAGAACCTTTTGGGAGATGGGAGAGCTGCCATAAAAGAGGCTTATTATAGAATTATAACTATATTGTTATAATTATGATGTTGTTGTTGTGTACCACAGAGATGGAACTGACCCATAGCCTGTCCTTCTGGTGGCTTTCCAGAGACAATTAATGGCATGGGAGGAGATTGCCCATCCTTCTCCCACTGAGCAGCTAGTCGTCTCAAACAGCATGCCTTCAGATTGCAGTGCAGTTTCTTGCCACTAGGCCACCAGAGCGCCTATAATTATGATATTATATTAATAATTATAGAATAGGCCTCTTTACAACTCAAGACTGAAAACACCAGTGGTCCCAAGACACAGGAGATGGTGTTCATAAGAACTGCCAATAGTCGCACGTAGTAAACCGAGAAAATTTGAAATACCCCAAAGGAACTCCCTGCTATATTAACAGTTCCCATGGTGGATTCTCTACTCTGTTTCTTGAGTGCTGGAGGTAGTGCATCCTTGAAGTGGAGTATTTCTGAATGAGAGAGATATAATGAGTATGCGACAGGGCAAATGCTGTGGGTGAGAAGACTCAAACTTCTGCCATGAAGAGCTCATCCTGAACCTCAAGACTTCATTCACAGTAATAAACATTCCTGAAGTGGTCCACAGTCTGTAGCGGTGCTAGGTCTGGCATGGTCCACTCACCAGGGTATGCTGTGAAGTAGGCATCCAAGAATCTAGCGTGGTTCCCGTAGATGGTCCTGGCCATGCCTGGCCATGCCTGCGAGAAGCACAGTGCACCAGAGATGCCATTGCCCTCCATAACGCTCCCCTGCAGAAAGGTAGGAGGTCTGGCGTGAGGAACACACAGGGGAGTACACTCTTTTTTTTCTTTATTTAAATTTTTATTTTATTTTATTACTTTGTGTGTGTGTGTGTGTGTGTGTGTGTGTGTGTGTGTGTGTGTACCATCAAATCAGATCTGACTGGAACAGGAGGAGATTGTTCCTCCTTTTCCAGCAGAGCATCTAGTGGATTTGAACTGTGCACCTCTGGGATTGCAGTACATCTTCTTGACACTAGGCCACCAGAGCTCGCTGTGAGTACACTCTTGCCCTGGACTAAATCCAACAAGTGACAATAATCCAAGGGGTAGGGAGGACCCCTGCTAGCCACAAAGCTGGAAGCTGATTTCGAACCCAGCCTCTTTGCACCAGTTTTGGGCTCACTTGGTGTGAGTGCAGCAGGCCTGGACACAGAGGGGTGGTGGGGTGTAGTAACCCTGAGTGGGTGGGTGAAACACAAACCTTGTCATCCATAATTACTGGTACAATGCCATAGAAAGGTCTCATGGCCATACAGGGGACAATCTCTGCACCCTCCTCCGAGGGCCGTGGCGCAATGCAGATGCCGCCTGTCTCTGCAAGAGAAAGGAGTCAGTGGACCTGGGGCCTGACAACTCACATAGTACACAGAGTGCTAGGGGAGGACAAAGTGGTAGAAACTTATAGACTTAAATACTCTAGGACTTTGGGTGTGGCAGACTGAGTCCCTGAGCTACAGAAAAGGGTTTAGGTGTAGAGCAGAAGAAGTCCGTGCACAGGGCTCTTGGCATCAGCACCTGGTGGACCTAGCCCACTGCTCCTCACATCTTGCTCTGGTCAAGTCCTGACTTAGTTGCAGAAGAAGCAGTACATCCATCCCCAGGGAAGACAGAAGAGGAGAAAGTCTAAGAGGTGCACAAGTATTGTCTTCCTGCCATTCCTAGGCTCACTTGTACGGACATATCTTTAGACTTAGAGGAGGGAGCTCTTCTAAGTGGGTGGGACATTCTCTACCCCATTGAACTCATGGTTTCTTAAATGGAGGCACCCTTACCCTCATATACTTTTATGTCAGGAAGTGGTCCCTACAGCTAAGAGTAAGGGCTTAAACTGAGCTTGACTCCATGTAAGACCCTGAGCAACACTGTGCATGCACTCCCTCACTTAACGCTCCCCAGGAAATGGGAAGGGGACAGCTCCATTTTGAATAAAGAGATTAGGCATCTGCCCTACTGTGGGTGTAATTCATTTCTCCAAATGCCTGCACAGTTTTAGGACTGAGATGGAACTTGACTGCAATCCAGGAACTCTGTGCCACTCATGCATCAGCTCCAGCATCCTCCTTAGTACATGTCCAGTGACCCCATGACATCACTGCATTGCTGACATGGCTCACCTGTCTGCCACCAGGTGTCGACCAATGTGCATCTACTGTCCCCCACCACCTTGTGCAGCCACTCCCAGGCCTCGTGGTTGATTGGTTCTCCCACTGAAACCACAGCGTGAAAAGAAAAAGCATTAGTAGAATTTAGAATAAGATGAAAAAAAAGGACAGACTGGTGAGAGGAGCAAAACTCATTATTTGTCTGAAGGACATAAGACAAATGTATCATCCAGGATGTGAGATCTATTGTAATAATCACATTAGAGAATCAGAACTCAAAATGTTGACAAGAGTGTTCACGCACACTATGGGAAGTGATCTAGTGTGGTATTTTGGGGGGAAAATATGGATAAAAAAGGGTTCACTAGAAGCAGGAGTGTCATCCACTTCCTAAATAACATGCTTCTGGAAACCCTATGAACTTTGATAAATGTCAATTGTTGTAGAGGGGCTTCAAGTCTTTTGTTCGTAGGGTTACTATGAGTTGTGCTCGACTTGAAGGCAATCAACAACAACATAAAACAATTTCATGAAATCCCTTACAGTCACTATAAATTATTTGAGCCCTAATTTCCTGAGTTCTCAACTGCTTGCTATGCACCTGAGAGCCGAACAGTGACTAAGGATGATGGAAGAAGAATCATTGTATTTGGGTTGTGTTGCTGGAGAAGAGTATTGAACATCCTATGGACTGCCAAGAGAACAAACAGGTCTGTCCTGGAAATGGTGAACCCAGGTTGTTCTTTTGAGGCAAAGCGTTTGAAGCTCCATCTGACATACTTTGGATAAGCTTCCAGGAGGGACTAGTCCTTGGAGTTGGACAGGATACTTGGAAAGGTGGAGGGACAGTGTGGAAGAGGAAGATCTCAGATGAGATGGACTGACACAATGACTACAGCGCTATAGGGGCAGGTATGTTAGAGGTAGTGAGACTGGCACAAGATAGGGCTGGGTTCAGGGCTATTGTTCATAGGGTCGCTATGAGTCACAGTCAACTTGATGGAACATAATAACAAACAATAATTTACTGAGTTTGTACATATAGAGTGATGTCAACTCCAGGGATTTGTGAGATGAGGAAGAGAGCCCAGCACAGCTCTCACCATAAAGACAGCTTGGAAGTGTGCTCTTCTCCTGTTATATCTCAGCCTTATCACTGCCATGGGCCACAGGACAAGCTCACCTGAGCCCAGGGTCCGTAGGGAAGAGAGATCATACTTCTTGACCCAGGCATCACCATACTTTAGCAACAGCCGCACAGCTGTTGGGGCACAGTAGAACTGGCTGATCTGCAGTCTCTGCACTGTCTCCCAGTACCGACCTACAGAAAGGTCCAGTGTGTGCAGTCAAGTAAAGTCCTTTGGACACAAAAACCCAAGCCCATTACAGATAATCCAGCAGATCCCATGTGCTCATAGAAAGTGTGTGCAAGTGTTCACCAGAAGATGAGTAAGTGCTGTACCCATCAAGCTCAGCTAAGCGCTCTCTGCACCCAGTTAACCACCAATACATTTCTATCAGACATTTGTATCTCCACATGAAGACTTGGGTCAAAGGGACATACCAGAAATTTTAAGATTACTTGCAGCTGACAAACAATTTTTATTCAGCTGTATTTAAATGGTCCCTACTATGGTGATTGGTGCTTCCCAGAAGAACCTAGTATTCGCTATATACCCAACTACTGAAGATGAGAGTAGCCTCAAGTGCTTAAGGCAGTGAGCCTGATCATGGCAAAGACTAGCCATAACCCCCCGGGAGCTGATTCTCTCTCAAGAGCTGACCATGACACAGCCCTATTCTGTGATCAGCTCTGTCCATCTCTGCAGAGGTGATCCTGACATGTCCCAATGCTCCTTCTCTGCAGAACTGATCTTGACACATCCACCTGCCATTTTTATTTCTGGCCCCCTCTTCAGAGATGATGTTGACATGTCTTCATGCTATCATTAGTTCTGTCCATCTCTGCAGAGCTGACCCTGACACATCCCTATACCATCATCAGTTCTTTCTCCCTCTTCAGAGTTGCCCCTGACAAGTCTCTGTGCCTTTTGTCCCTCTCTGCAGAATCGACCATGGCATGTCACCAGTCCATCCATTTCTTCAGAGCTGACCCTGACACCTCCCTCTACCACCATCAGTTCTATCTCTTTCTGCAGAGCTGAGCCTGACACATCTGTATGCTGTCATTTTCTGTCCGTATCTGCAGAGCTGACCCTGACAGTCCCTATGTTGTCAGAGGTTCTATGACAGCTCACTGTAGAGCTGACCATGACAGCTCATTTATGTCCCTTTCTTTAAAGCTGGACCTGACCCATCCCTATGCTGTCATCAATTTTGTCCCTCTCTGCAGAGTTGAGCCTGACATGCCCATATGCCTTCATCAGTACTGTCCCTTTCTATAGTCCTGACCCTGACATGTTGTTATGCTGTTGTAGGCTCTGTCCTTCTCTGCAGAGCTGATTCTGACAAGTCCCTATGCTTCCCTAAGTTCTGCCCTGCTCTTCAGAGAAGTAAGAGAAAGTGGTAGGGAGTTTGGTGCACACAAATGTAATGCTTAAATAATTGCCTCTTGCTAGAGGAGCCACTGTGTCAGTATGGTTCCTTTCAGATACTATAAAGATCATGAGACACTGCTCTGGGGAGACAAAAGATGCTAAGATACAGCTATTGCTCTCAAGGTCCTCAAATCAATCACATCTTACTGAGAGCCACCAGCCCATCCCTTAGCTTTATTCAACTATACTCATAGGACAGCCCTTTTGGCAAAGGTTAGGGTTGGCGGTTCTTCCATAATCAGGGAGATGGAAGCATCCAATAGCTAACCAAGCTTGAAAAAAGGACTGGATGGCCAAGTAGTTGTAGAAGTGAGAGGGCAATGCTAAATTGACTGTCCGAGAAGACAAAATAAGTCAAAAGGGCGGGGATGCTGGACAAGGATTTGCAGATGGCTTCCAGTGCTACCAGATTCCTGTCTCCTACCTGTCTGACCTTGCAGAAGGGGCTGGCCAGCTTTAGGTTCACCTGCTCAAGGAGTTACACAATTACATTCTGTCAGAAGTGGAGGCCTCCACCTTTCAAAACCCTACCTCAGCCTTCAAGCTCCCTCCCTGATCCAACAGGGGATCCCAGACAAGGCCCCAGTTCTCACCGGCATCAGGGTAAACTGGGGTGCTCTCAAAAAGGACGCTGGTGGCTCCATTGCAAAGTGGTCCATATACCACATAGCTATGTCCTGTGATCCAGCCAATGTCAGCCACACATCCAAAGACGTCCCCTGGCTTGTAGTCAAACACAAGCTGCAGACAGAACGAGGGCCATCAGAAGCATGCCATCACTCTCCTACACTGCCAGGGAAGAGTGTATGGGTGCCACATTTTATAAATGTAGCCACTTAGAAGCCCACCCAAGGTGGAGGTCACTGACAGCCAAATAAGATGTATGTTGACAATCAGGGATTAAGACTATTCTTGAAAGGCAAAATGACTTAGGTTTGGGGTAGTATGGAGAGGCCTCTCAAGAACCTTCAGGAAGGTAGGGACACTCTTAAAGCAGCAGGGGATACACTATGTATCACAGTGTAGCTGCATATAGCCTTGCTGTACATATAAGCTATGGGTATATTTTCTGCATTTAGTGGTATCAAAATTTTAAACTATTTTGAAGATCTGCAAAAAGTAAAATCTCAAAATACTAAGAAATACATTGACGTCAGAAGCTTATACAACCACAGAAAAGAGACCACACATCACCAGTCTTGTCAAGGAGCCAACTTGAATCTGAATCCACTTTAGACCCCACCATCATTTTGCAGTGGACAAAGAGAGCAGAGGACAATCATCAACATTTAAGACCTAGATTCTACAGAAAACTCAAGAAAATGAAAGACATAGAAGGGAATTTTTAATTTTAAATAATTAGAAGACATACTGAACTTTTCATAAAGGCAGAGCAAACTCTGGTGTCTAGGGATGCACATGTGGATGGCACACTCCAGGAAAGCACAGAAGCAATGGCTGTTAGGACTTCCCCACAAGTGCTCGGGAGCTTTAAGCAGGGCACATGCAAGGGGCATCTTGTGTGGCTTCTTCGTCAGAGTGGCATTTGCTTTCCAATGACTAAGTCATCATTTGACTTGGGTAGTTTCCTCTATCTGTGCTATATTTTACAATAAAACAATAGATGCATTTTTGTCATATATACTGTCACAGAGAAGTTCAGATCCTCCAGAAGTATTTTCAGGATGTAGCAGTGGCCAGTATGCTGCAGAGCTGTGCCTCACAGAGGGAAAGGAAGGGTCTGCCTGCCTAGGAAGAACTAATTTTTGTTAGAGATGGAATGTGCTGAGTCAGGGTTTTTATATCTCAAAGCACCATGGCATACAGAAACTGAAAAGGATTTCTAATCATCCCAAGCCTAATTCCACGGATGAAAGTGTGCTCTCCCTGTGGTTCCTAGAGGAGAATAGGCCAATCTTTCCCTAAAGTACCTAGCAGCACCCAAAGCCCCAGCCCATCTCCATCTCACAGTATTCCAAGTTCTGTCAATTCCCAGGTGCCCTTTCAAACTTAATATATTCCTGAAGAAACTCACAGCCCCTAACGTTCTCTTCCACAGAGAAAAACAAGCTCATTCCTCATATCTTCCTCTGGCTTCAGAGGCTGCTCACAAACACTAAGAAAGTATAGACACTCACACTTTTGTGTCAGAACAAGCTCCAGCCCTAAGTCCAGAGTCCTTACAAGTGCTGCCTCTGCCCCTTGCCCTCAGAGATGATAAACTTGCCCGCACAAAGGCCATGCACCTTATGAGTCAGTGCTGCGTAGAGCAGGTAGCCTGCCTGGGTGTGGACAAGCCCCTTGGGTGTTCCTGTGCTCCCTGAAGTATACAGCAGGAAAAGCATATCTTCGCTGTTCATGCTTTCTGGGGCACACTCAGGATTCTCCTTGGCCATTTCCTGTGCAGAAGAAGATACAGCAGCTTGTCAGGGCTTTGAACCACCCCAGGGCACACTTCCTGTCAGCACTTCTGGACCCAGCAGAATTAATCTGAATACAACCACTCTAGTATGCCAACCCAAAGGCATGTGGTTAAAATCCATCAGTTACTCCATGGGAGAAAGACAGGCAAACTCCTCCCACGTGATATAACATCTCTGAAAACCCAGTGGAGGTCAGGTATGGGTCAGTTTTGACTCAATAGCACATAACAACAATACAAGCAAGCATGCACACAAGAAGCTCTGGTGGCCCAGGAACTGTGCTGCTAATCCAAAGGCTTGCCATTTGAATCTGCCAGCTGTTCCTTGAGAGAAAGATGGGCAAACTCTTTCTGTGATTTACACTCTCTGAAAACCCACTGGACTCGAGGGTCAGCTAGAATTTTGACCTGTGAACATATAACAACTAAAAAGCATGCCTAAGTCCAATCCAAAGGTACACAAGACTCTCACATAAGGGCAGATCCATTCCAAATAGCATGTATGTAGCAGTTGAGTTTTACCTTCCCATCCAAGAAGTCATCCACTAATGACCGTAGGGAACCCAGACACCTCTGGGGACCCAGCTTAAGAACTGGTAAGCCTCAGACTCAGGAAACCCATATCAGGCTTCACCATGTGGGTAAACCTACCTGCTCCAGGACAACATCCAGCTTCCCCATGCTGACTTTCTTGTCTGTCCTGTGGGCCACAAGAACACATCTCACAGTGGGACAGAGCTTCACAGCTTCATCCACAATTTTCTTCAGCTCTAGTACACGGCCACCCCGGAGCCCCTGGTTCACAGTGATAACAACCTTGCACTTGGCTGTAGAGACAGTATGAACACTGGTCAGTTTCCTTCCCACTTGACCTATGTGACTGTATTTAAGCTACATATTTCAAGTCTGGAAGTAGAACAAACTTCAATCCTGACTATAAGTCAATAAAAACACATTGGCCTGTCATTTTGCATCTGATGTGTAGGGTGCAAGCACCAGGCTGGTTCCAGGACCAGAGGAACTACAGAGTGTTTTTGGATGTCTATAATTTATCATTACAGTAATCAATCATTTATTTTGTGTTAAAGTAATTATTGTATTAAGGAGAGAGATTTAGAATGGGATACAAGCCTCACCCTACGAGAGGCACATATAAGCTCATGTGGACTCCTCCCCTAGGACACAGCATCTAAACACAGTTCTCATAGAGCTACGCCACAACTGACAGTTGACAAGATCCTGGCCCATTGCTCACTAGTCTCTACAACACAAGCCTGCATCACCTACAGGTGCCATCTATTTGTATTGCAACTAAAAATCCTGGCCTAGGGCTCACCAGTTTGTGCAAAACCAGCCTACATACCTATCCCTTGCTCTGTTCTGACGACTGCCTCCTGGTCCAAGTATAACTTTCACATTAGAACGATCAAGTGTTCTGGGATTCCCATTCTTCTCGGAGTCAGCCACAGTTTGTTATGATCTACACAGTCAAATGCCTTTGCATAGTCAATGAAGCACAGATAGACATTCCTCTGGTATTCCCTGCTTTCAGCCAAGATCCATCTAACATCAGCTACAATATCTCTAGTACCACGACCCCTTCTGAAACTAGCCTGGACTTCTGGTAGTTCTCTGTTGATGTGCTGTTCCAGTCGTTTTTGGATAATTTTCAGTAAAATCTTGCTTGCATGTGAAATCAGTGAAATTGTTCTGTAGTTTCCACATTCAGTTGGGTCGCCTTTCTTTGGGATAGGAACAAATATCGATCTCTTCCAGTCAGTTGGCCAAGTGGTCGTTCTCCAGATTTCTTGGCACAACTTGGTGAGCACGTCCAGGGCAGCATCTGTTAACTGAAATATATCAATTGGTATACCATCTATTCCTGGAGCCTTATTTTTGGCCATGTCCTTCAAAGCAGCCTGGACTTCTTCTTTCATCACCATAGGCTCTTGCTCACTTGAACACTGCATGGTTCAAAATTGGGAAGGGCGTACGCCAGGGATGCATCCTATCTCCATACCTCTTCAACCTATATGCAGAACAGATTATCCGGGAGGCTGGGCTCTATGAGGAGAAATGTGGGGTCAGGATTGGTGGACGATTTATCAACAATCTGCGTTATGCGGATGACACAACCCTGCTTGCTGAAACTGAGGAGGACCTGAAGCACCTGCTGCAGAGTGTCAAGGACTGCAGCCTGCAATATGGATTGAGGCTCAATGTCAAGAAGACAAAGATTCTCACCACTGGACAAATCGGCAGCATCAGGATGGATGGTGAAGAGATTGAGATTGTACACAGCTTTAGTTTGCTTGGCTCCATAGTCAACAGTCTTGGCACCAGCAGCCAGGAAATGAAAAGGCGCATTGCCATGGGAAAGTCTGCTGTTAGGGACCTCTCCAAAGTGCTGAAGAGCAGTGGTGTCTCTCTGGAGACTAAGGTGCGTCTGATACAGGCCATAGTCTTCGCAATCACCTGTTATGCATCAGAGAGTTGGACAATGACCAAGGAGGATAGAAGGAGAACTGATGCCTTTGAGCTGTGGTGCTGGAGAAGAGTACTGAGAATACCATGGACTGCTAGGAAAACAAATAGATTTGTCCTGGAGAGGGTTAAACCGGGTGGCTCCTTGGAGGCAAGGATTCTGAGGCTCCATCTAACTTACTTCGGACATGTAGTGAGGAGAGCCCGGTCCTTGGAGAGGGACATCATGCTTGGGAGCGTGGAGGGACGGCGCAGGAGAGGAAGGCCCTCTATGAGGTGGATTGATTCAGTGACTGGAATAATTGGGATGGGAGTGTCAGAGACAGTGCGATTGGCACAGGACAGAGCAGAGTTTAGGGCTGTTGTACATAGGGTCGCTATGAGTCGCAGGCGACTCGACGGCACATAAGAACAAAACAACAACAACATACCTATGGTCATGTGAGTCATCCTTGTGACAGGTCTGAGACTCTGGAAGACCTTCTGGTGAGTCACTGAACCCAAAGGTCATAGAGAAATTGGAGAACTGAGGCACTGATGGAGCTGTTAATGTTAGAAATGATAGATTTCTTTATTGTTAAATTTTTATTTTCTATTGGTTTACATACAAAAATTTGCATACATTGTGTATCATTCTCCTTCATTCACTGTGAATTTTGCATTCATTGAGTTTCCTACAAACATTTAAATTTTTTTTAAATTTCTTACAATTAATTTATTTTACATTGGGGAACCAAATACTACATAAGACCATTACTGGAGAAATAAATAGTTAGAAAAAACGTTTATGAAAATCAAAGGGGGAGCAGAGGAGTGGGTATGGACAGGGAGGTAAGCATAGAGTTGTACATTGTGTTGTATTTCCTTTTTAAAATTTTTGACTGATGTGAATTTTTGAATTAAATTTAATGAGAGTTTACAGAGACTAATGATTTCCATTCATTCATTGTTGCACTTTTCCCCCGGCCCAACATCGCTCCCCCTCAGTTCACTCTTCTCTTTGAAAAGTAAAAGAAAAATTCTTTCATTGTTATGTAGTTCCCCTACCCCAAGTCCAGTCCACTATGCAGCCTTTGTTTTGAAAAGTGAAAGAAAAATTCTTTCATTGTTAGACAATCCCTCCCCCTAAGTCCACTCCTCTATGCAGCATTCGTTCTGGACTCCTGTCATGACAATTATATCTAATCATATTTCCCTTTTAAATAGTTCTGTCCCTCATCTGTTTCAATGCAGTATACATTATCGAACCCATCTTTCTCAATCTCCCCTCAACCCTGATGTCAGTCCCATTTTACAACAGTGGCACTATGCACTCTGTGTCCTTTTGTGACCGAAATATTTAATTCCGCATAATGTCCTCCAGGATCATCCATTTTGTATAATATTTCATGAGTTCCTTGTTTTTCAATGCAGCAGAGTATTCCATTGTGTGAATATACCACATCTTCTCTATCCATTCATTTGTTGATGGGCACTTGGGTTTTTTCCAGCTCTTTGCTAGTGTGAACAAAGCTGCAATTAACATAGGTGTGTATATATCTGCTTGGGTGGCGGTTATGGTTTCTGTGGGATATATTCCCAGTAGTGGATTTGCTGGGTCAAATGGTATTTCTATTTGCAACTTTTTGAGAAAGCGCCATACAGCCTTCCATACATAGTTGTTGCACCATTTTACATTCCTACCAACAGGGAATAAAAGATCCAGTTTCTCCAAACCTCATCAGTATTTGTTGTTTGCTGTTCTGTTAAATTTTGCTATTCTTACTGGGGTGAGATGATATCTCATAGTTGTTTTGATTTGCATCTCTCTTAGAACTAGGGATTTCGAACATTTCTTCCCGTGCTTGTTAGCCATCTGAATGTCGTCTTTGGTGAAGTGTCTGTTCATATCCTGTACCCATTTTTCTATTGGATTATCTACCTTTATCTTGTTGTGTTGCTAAAGTACTTTATAGATTCTGGATATAAGTCCCTTATCTGATATGTCATTACCAAATGCT